AATTTAAGGTGTTACAAAAGATGTAAAAAGGCCTTTATGATATTATATGCGCTAAGAAAATTTAGAAGCAGATAATTATTCAATTTCTAGACGGAGGTCAAGAGAAGTGGTAAATTAATTAAAGTCGGAGGTTGTTCTTGTGAAGTAGTTCTACTGGGCGAGCTAATTGTTAACTTGGACGTGGAATAATATCTGCTAAATAATTTGCGATTGGGGAGGCGGATTATCGTTGTGAAGTACTGTACTACTCACGAAGTACTGTACACGATGTTTTCAACCCACGAGTCAGAGAGCAAGCTCAACTGACGGCTCCCAAATAAGATATTGTAACGATCTTATCTCTCTTTGTGAAGCTTAAAGTTTGTGACAACGAAGAAAACAATCTGAGATTTAACTAAAATTAGCATCTTTATAAAGCAAACACCTAAATTCATTTCATTATCTCTTCCTTCTCATCTTCAACAGTTGTACCCTGCTGCAATCCAATAAACGTCACATTTGTTGTTAACCATTTGGCTGGGTGTTGCCTCTTCCACCGCATGTACATAAAACCAACTGTTCGTACTAAGCACGTTCCGTATGTAGATAGAAGGACAGCTGTTACTACCACCCATGGTAGCAGTAACAACTGGTATAGATACAAATCCACACTCCGCAAAGTTAATCCGTCTGTACGTGTTCCCTTTATAATACCTCCATCTGTAGTTGTTGTAAATGTCGCCTGTATCAGTGTACCGCGCGACACCAGAACAAGTAATTGCACAGGGTGGGGGACCAGCTACACCGTCAGGAGTATTTAAAATCTTCACCTCACTAAGAGTAGGGTTAGCTAAAACTATCACGACTAACAGAAAACTTAGCAGCTTCATCATAGAAAGGGTTGGGACAATGAGACACGTTGCTAAAGACAAAATTGTTCACCATTCAGAGCTAGTGGTGATTTTAAATGATCGGCTCAACCTATATGTCCCCTCGAACAGTGCTTATTAAATTAAGTGGTAGTAGTAACATGGTTATATTTGACAGATGGCCATTTAAACCGGCTAAATTGACGAATTAGATTGTCAGCACTAAACAGCTGTGGAAATGGAAAATTCTTGATCTGTAATTCTTATTAAATTTCATCCATACATAATTAATAAAACGTAATATATTACCTTTTTTCCGCGAGAACTTGACTGTAAAAGTGCAGTTCCTGGAGTGTAATCTTCATCGCTGTCGTCACAGTCATCACTGTCAGTTTCTTCTGCTAGAATTTCCTCTGGCAGATCCTGAGTAAATGGGCCAGCTTCAGATTGGGGACCAGAACATTGTACCAATGAAGATAGTCCAGTCTGCATCGAGCTATTGGTAGTACGAGGACTGCATTGGACACCTTTGTCATTGTTTGTGTCAGCTGATATCAGGACAGATAGATATCTGTTCGGGATTATTTCAAAGTTGGGTTCTTCGGTGGCTATCAATTCTTGAGATTGTGATGCTTCTCCGACTTTAATGGAGGTACTTATTAGAGAGCAACGGTCAAGTATTCCTTCATTCTCTTCGACTAACTGATCAATATAACCGATGTCTCTCCTTACCCTCTTGCGTCCTGGCTGATCAAAATTTCCGCCATCAATATCGAAGTTTAACTGCAGATGAATCTTGATTTCACCAGTCACCCTATCAGTATTTGGAATTGAATCCGGTTTCAGTCTCACCCACATATTTGTCACCGACTCCGCTCGTTTTGCACTATCGAAGTCGTAAGAATTGAAATCTTCATCTGCAAAGTGCTCCGAACAAATCTGTGTATGCTTAGTTACGTCTTCAGGTCTCCGTCGAATCCGTAATCTCCACTTCATGAAAAGTTCTTTCTTCGTTTCAGGATCAGGTATTTTATAAAATCGTAAAAACTTCCGTCCAGGCCATTTGGATATGAACGGTTGCTTCTTGAATTTAACCTTTGTGTTGTTAGGACAGTTTCCTTCAGCACAGGACACCATAGTCTTTAGCTGTTATCACAGAATTTTTAGTTGATAAACTAAATAGCCATTATTTTATGACTCGTGTATGGTTAGTTTAGTTGGCGCTGATTACTTGTTAATTGATAATATCTTTTTAGCTCGCGTAATTCGACAATTCTTACATTACGAGTATGGATTTTGATCCCGAAACAACAGTTGGAATTGACGATGATTCGGAAAATAGTGAAACGGAAGACTACATGCTAGATTTTGATAGAATAGGAGCAACGAATAACTATCAGGATATTAGCGCCGATCCAAAACTGCCAGCTAGTGATCATAGCAGCGATGATGAGCCGAGTACAGTAGGCTATAATGACTATGACAGTGATGAAGGGGCAGAACATCAACAATCGGATTCAGAAACTCAGAACTGCATTTCAAGACTTGATAAAGATGTCTCGACTTGGTGTACATGCGGTAACTGCAAAACTATGGAATCAGAATTGGAGTGCTACTTTTGCCAGGAGAGCACTATTATTTCCGACTTCCTGCTGTCGAGAAAAGACGCGACGTGTGTAACGGAACTGCCCATTTTCAAGAAAACTGTTGAAGAAAAACATGTTCTTGAACTACAAGGGAGTGGCATACGAACAGTGAGCAGGGACAGTGAGGGCACGATCAAACCGGAGGGGTACAGATTTATCGCATATACGACTTTCCTGCAGATGTGCACCCTACGATTTTGTGGGAAAGGACGACGTTATGTGGTGCCATCCTGTGTGGTTTCACGTATTCGTGCTATGTTTCCATCACCGAATGGAAAATACACAGACTTTGTGCCAGGGTACATTGATTCAAGAATATGAGTTCCGTAAGACGTAGTTCTAAGTCTTAAAGCCCTACTTTAACTTGTCCATATGGCAGCCAACGAAACTTTCTCAATCCACACTTTTTATTCAAATTATTACCTTATATTGATATCATGTGACATTTTATGAAATTTAAAATACTTCATTCTCAATGCTTTGTTCTATCAAATGTGTAGGTAACGGTTCAAACAGCAATTACAAGACAAAAACCAAATAAACAAGAGACTGGCACAATAGAAATCAACGTGCATCTCTCGCCCTGCTCTCACAGCGGGGCGAGACTTGCGTATGATCTAATTTTAGTGTTTAGGTGATATCTTGGGGTGTGAGAGTGCTATGAGTTTCGTTCTTTGGTGTTATTACAGGGGTGAGTGTCCTCCCTAATTTCTAGGAGTGGCTACTCATTACTAACAAGTCAAAATTCTAAATAACTCGTCCTTTAAGTAAAACGTCTGATATTTATGATATTATTATATAGTTATATGCACTAATTAAATTGAGTAGCAGATAATTAAGTCTACTGGGCGAGCTAATTGTTAACTCAGACGTGGAATAATATCTGTTAAATAAGATATTGTAACGATCTTATCTGTCTTCGTTAAGCTTCAAGTTTGTGACAACGAAGAAAACAATCTGAGATTTAACTAAAATTAGCATCTTTAAAAAGCAAACACCTAAATTCATTTCGTTATCTCTTCCTTCTCATCTTCAACAGTTGTACCCTGCTGCAATCCAATAAACGTCACATTTGTTGTTAACCATTTGGCTGGGTGTTGCCTCTTCCACCGAATGTACATAAAACAAACTGTTCGTACTAAACACATTCCGTATGTAGATAGAAGGACACATGTCACTACCACCCATGGTAGCAGTAACAACTGGTATAGATACAAATCCAGACTCTGCAAAGTTTATCCGTCTGTACGCGTTCCTTTTCCATTCTCTCCATCTGTTGTCGGTGTGTCGCGCGACACCAGAACAAGTAATTGCACAGGGTGGGGGACCAGCTACACCGTCAGGAGTATTTAAAAGCTTCAGCTCACTCAGAGTGGGGTTAGCTAAAACTAACAGAAAACTTAGCAGCTTCATCATAAAAATAGTTGGAACACGTTGCTAAAGATAAAATTATTCACTATTCAGAGCTAGTTCCGCTCAGCCTATATGTCCCCTCGAACAGTGCTTATTAAATTAAGTGGTAGTAGTAACATGGTTATATTTGACAGATGGCCATTTAAATTGACGAATTAGATTGTCACCACTGAACAGCTGTGGAAATGGAAAATTCTTGATCTGTAATTCTCATTAAATTTCATTCATACTGATACATTAGTTTGTAATAGTGGAGGAGAACCAGTCACACCATCTCAAGACCTTCAGTTCTCTCTGAGTGGGCATGCTAACATTAATTACGTTGCAGAAGTAAGCTAGATTGTGATTCTTTGCAGATGACCCATTCTTGTGAGCTAAATGGGTTGATCTTACTGTAGGAATTCAACAGCTGCGTTAAGGGGGTCTTCATCAAATTTCTCCCGAAATCTACTTTATAGTTTGTTTTTAATAGAGAAGAGTGACAGACCTCGTTTCTTGTCGATTATTAGAGGTCCAAGATTTAAAAAATCGAAAACAAAATCTTTAAAGGCCTATCCCAAAATTCTAGCTCTAGAGTTCTCTTCTAACTGATCCTAAGAACATATCCTGAAAGTTTGAGGGTGATTGCTCAAAAAATGTAGGAGAAGATAGATTATTAGACTCGATTTTCAGAACGCGATTGAAAATCGCTCGCGCAATACAATTACACATATTGTCGTTATATATATTCACGTAATCAGCCGAGGGGGGGGGGGGGGGGGGGGGGGGGGTTTCCAAATGATTACGCTTGTGTAATTTTGACACAATAGTTACTGTGGTAACCTGTTAGTTTCTGTGGTAACCTGTTAGTTAGTCGCCAGCCAAGAATCGTTGTGGAGCAACGACGAAAAAATAGTTGTATGGTGTAAGGTAAAATTGAAAGAATAAACTATTGATAAAGACAACTTCCAATATCAAATATACGTGACATCCTCACGAAGTATCCCGGCTACTGTAAAATCCCAGAGCAACGGTTTTTCGAAAAAATGCAACGTGTTACTCTGTTAAACGTTAACCGACATTTGTAAGTTACCTTTAAACTAATTACAACACTACAAATCTATTACATTTATTGAGCTTTATTAATTTTTAACGTAATTGTAACGTCTCGTCAGTCGTCCATGACAAAGGCGTGGGCCGAAACGTCGACAACTTGTTAGAAAAAAACTGAGTGGAGACTATCACTTTGCTATCAAAAATATCAATTATTCAATTATTAATGAATATTTAATTGATTATTAATTTATGAATATTAAATTAATAAGTGATAATAATTAATATGCTATGCTAAAGCGAAGAACACAGGAAAAGCTCGACAACCCCCTATTGTATAAAAAGCTCGCTAAAGACCCTACGCAAGACCTACACCAGGAACTATTTGATTTATGGATCGAGGGAAAAAAGAAAAACTTTGTTACACCAAAAGAAGCTAAAGACATCATGGGTATTACCAACAATCTAAACAGTGATGGTACAGTTACTAACAACAAGAGTACTTCTTCCCACTTCAAACCTGGTAAAGCTTATTTCTACCCCACCCTAAAGATCCACAAACTTCAAAAGGAAGACCTTAAACCAGGAGTCGAACCCCCCTTCAGGCTCATCACGGCACTCCAGGATGGAATCACAAAACGCAGTGATGTTTTCCTCGCTAGCCAATACCTGAAGGATCTTGAAAAAGATTTCTGCTCTGACCTTTTGACTGATAGCACTGATGCCCTTCAATGGTTGGATTTCGTGGATAGTGAACATTCCCCAGTACAGAAGAAAGGCTTCAGATCATTTACCTACGACTTTAAGGCCCTCTATGATTCTCTAACACCACCCCTCGTCATAGAGGCCCTGAATTCCGCTATGTCATCATGCAGAGAAGATTGGTCTGAAGATTTCTGCAAATGGCTCACCAAATTGGTGGAATTGAGCCTTCGATCCTCTGCTGGGGTGTTCGATCAAAATTGGTTCATACAGCTCATCGGTATCCCTACGGGTGGATCACTATGTGTCCAAATCGCAAACATAGCAGTCTACTACCTAATGAACAAATGTGTTTATAGTAACCCAGAGCTCATGAATAAGATCGTATCAGCCAGGCGTTACATTGACGACGGAGCAGGTTTGTTTGAGGGAACTACAGATGAGTTCAAAATTTGGATTGCAGATGTTAACAAAGCACTCCTCTCCCATGGCCTAATCATTGATGAATACCAAATAGAAGATCCTGGTAAATACGTATCTTTCCTTGACATAATGTTCACCTTCGATTCCTTAGGATCCCTCCAAACGGATTTGTTCATAAAGCCAACAGACTCTCGTTCATATCTACATTTTAAAAGCTCCCACCCTAACCATATCTATTCCGGTATCGTGTACTCTCAATGCCTAAGACTCAGAAGGATCATCAACTGCCAAGAACGCCTGAAAGAACATCTCAACAACCTCAAAAAAGCCTTCCTTGCCGCATGTTACCCTAGAAAAATGATTGAGAACATCAGTAATAAGGTCCTCAACACAGCAAGATCACTGTCACGCAAAGTTCAGGCTCCTGATGACCAGACATCATTACATCTCCCAATCAGGGTCATATCTACTTATGGTAGTGATGATGATCTGGTGTCTGTGACTAAGAAGTATGAAGAACACCTCTCAAGAACGAGGAGTTTCAGTGAAAGTGACACTGCTGGAACATCCCAAGAGACCTCCTCAACATCCACCACGCCTAGGAAGACAATTTTCAGTTACACAAAGAAAACAGGGCCAAGCCTAAAATCTCGCCTCGTCAAATTGAAAGAACTTGCTTTAGGAGCTCAACATGGCCCAACCAGCAAATGCAATGTGCCAAGATGCAAATGTTGTGAACTTGTCAAAGGCACCCGTGAATTCAAAGTGAACGGCAAGAAGGTTAAAGCTTCCCCTGGAAACTGCCAGAGCTACAACATCATTTATCTGTTCCAATGTAGTGTCTGTGGAAAGGCTTACGTCGGTCGCACAACTCGATCTCTACGGGTTAGGACTGGAGAACATAGGGTCAAATATTATAAACTTTTAAATGGTGATAAGGTAGATGAAACAAGTGATGAATATAGTTTGGGTTTACATTTGTTGGATCATGGTTTTAGACAAAGGGAAGATTTTAACAAAATTTTTAATGTGTCAATTATTGATAATTCTAGTCCTAAAACTTTGGATGTCCGTGAACATAAATATATTCAACTACTCAAGACTTTAAAACCTTTGGGAATTAACACTATAAATCCTTTTGGCCTTCCATTACTCCTAACATCTTAATTTTAACTTTATAACCGTTTTAAGAGTGTTCAGATTTTTAAAGGAATTTTGGGTTTTACTAACTTTTTACAATTTCTAGGGCTTATGTCACTGAAGATGACGCCTTGCAACATGTTTGACGATAGCCTGTAGATTGATAGTTTGATCTCAGTATTTACAACAATTCATCTAGTTTGATTGATTCAAAGGGAAACAAATTCCTCTGTATAATAATTAATAAATACTTAATTAACAATTAACGAATATATAATTAATGAATTAATGATAATTACCTTTGACAAGTAACTGTCGCTGTCAAGGAAGAGATCTGATACGTTCGGAGAAACTTCCACTGTCATCTCACCCCGCAGGTTGGTCACCATCATCTGAGGAAAGGTAATTGAGTAATTAGTTAATCAATTAGAGGATAAAGTTATTTTAATTGATTAATAATTTCATTAAAGAAGCAAAATCATCAACTTTTACAGCTTCTCAGACAATTATTGAAAGATAACTTATCCGTTGTCTTATAACATAAACTAAAGGGCGTGTAATGGCCACTGTTAAGTTTAAGTTTTATGACTCATATTATTAAATGTCTTATATTATTAAACGACTTATATTATTTAAATATTGATTGACCTTAACTCATCAAAGTTTGATGTAGGCTGAGGAAAAACACAGGAGTATTTAGTGTAAACTCTTTACTTGACAGATTACTGATTTAGGGGTCATTCATATGTGTAATGTGAACGACCCCTTATCCACTATCCAAGTATCCAGTTAGGAACAGATTACGGAGGGCAGGCTGCTGTTAGAATAAGACAATGAACAGCTGCTACCACACGAACTGTAACTGATAATACTGGATTAAAGATTAATATGGAACATGGTGGCTCGTATGAAGGGAAGAAGACGTCTATATTTTTTCACCAGCTGCGATTTTTTAAATATAACGAAAAGTTCAATTTCACATTTCATTTTATTTCGTACGATGACAATGATGCATCTGGCACACTCTGATTTATGATTCCATTAAATTTCTATATCATTCGGATCTCAACTTGTCTGTTGCTAATATTTACTTCTTTTGTCTGGTCAGATACCACCTGATTAACTAGTCACTATCTCTCAGGGACAAAAGGATTTCGCGATTATTTTGGCCAAATTTCGCGGTACCGCGAAATTTAACAGGCTATACATTAAACTACACATAAAATTTGTCGCGGAGAATGGGAAATTTCGCGATTTCGTACATGCCGCGAAATCCTTTTGTCCCTGCTATCTCTACACACTCTACCTTTACATATTATGTTCCAAAAACAATGAGCTTATTGTCTTAAGAATTACGTTCATGTATTCCTTGATTCACCAGGTGGATATAAGATCGCTCAAAATCAGTCTAAACAGTTATTCAGTCTGGATAACTTTGTACCTTTTCGGCATCACAAATGTTTTGCTGAACTTATTATTTATTATATACTGTGAAACATACTGCTTCAGATATTCACACAGTAAAGACACTACTCAGTTGTTGTACTTGTATAGCGGATAAAATAGCGGTCCTCAGGACTGCTCTTTTATCTCAAATATATGGAACATTTTGTTATTAAACAATCTGTTTAAGTGTTTATTATTCTTGTAATATGCCCACTGTCCAATACTAGCTTTTTTGTTTTTCATACATCCAGAAGGCTTACATTTTTAGGGTTTTGATGCGGTCAGTTTTGGTTATACGGGGTCGTTTATATATTACGTAATCACTTTTTGGCACATTTTTAACCCCCCTCCCCCCTCCGTAATAATTTTTACACAGAGCTATTGTGTAAAAATTATACTAGCGTAATCATTTGGAAACCCCCCCCCCCCTCCTCCCCCTCGGCTGATAACGTAATATTATGTGAATTGTGAATGACTCCTAAGATTTCAAGAATTCATCTTTTACCTAATCCGGAACTCTCTTTACATAATATTAATAAGTAAATCCTGAAATCAATCAAGATGTTTATATTCATAATTAGATCCTGATTAGAAATTCCCTTCAGCGTCTCTCCAAATTGAGCGGTTACTTTCGATGAGATTTTGGTTCTGTCCACGAATAGACTATGGGAACCGGACACGAGGGCGTACGACACAAGGGCGGTACTTTCTTAAAAGGGTGGACACGAGGGCGAATCACATGAATCACTTTAACATGTATAAACGGGTTTTTTGATGTTCTCAACAGTCTGGTTGAGGTAAAGCTTAGCTCGAAGAATTGGATCTACTCACGTTTAAATTTGAAACAAAACATAGTGATGTCACAAATAATCACCCAGATTTAAGCGAGCCAAACATTGAGAGATTTTCCTTAAATATCTCAGTCAACTCAGCAGCAGATTTTGGGGTTTGGTAACGTGCTTAGACCAATCAAACAATGCCTAGGTGTTCATGTGACAAACTTGGCATTCAAAATATCGCAGTCGCTGACGCTACGGTTACCCGGGTTTAAATCAGGGGTAGTACGTACCAAAACGGGTATTTACTTTGGGTAGACAAATTTCACTGAGGTGTGTTCACTCAATTTCAAACCATCAATCCTCTCAGTTAAACTGTTAAAACGACCATCATTAAGGACGTTTTTTCTTCCGCCTTCGTGTTCATACTAAAATGAATCATGTGATTCGCCCTTTTATCCACCTGCACCCTTTAAGGAAAGTAACGCCCTTGTTTCCTACGCCCTCGTGTCCTCCGCTCTTGCGTCTACCACCTTTGTTTCCTACGCCCTAGTGTCCTCCGCTCTTGCGTCTACCGCCTTTGTTTCCTACGCCCTAG